TTTTTGTCTGGTTCAAGCACCTCGTACGTTTGACACAATGATATCAGTGATATTCATTCAAGAATATTGAAGGTATACGATAAAAATGGGATGTCAAAGATTTATGAAGCACTTCTCACTTAAACTTTCGTGTTTTTTCTATAATATTCCTATTTTGGTGGAAGGTTGGTGGGGTGTAATGACTTATGGTGCAACATCACAACAAGCTGGGTTGGGAATCGGATCCTGAACTATCCTTCTACATAGGCTAGCCAAGCCTTGAACACATCGAGGGTTGGTGGATTGGTCCATCAGTATCAGAATCGTTTGAGAGGATGAAAGCTCTGATCTGTACATCGGCTGTCATTGTGTAAGCCATTTACGAACTCAAACGTCCACTACGGTTCTGGATGAAAGTCGAATGAGGGGCGTCTCCAGAAAATGCGATCGATTCATGCCGAGGACTTTTAGGATTCTTTTCTTCAGTATTTCCCTAATTTTCCTTGAGCCGCTGGAGGTCCCCGTTCTTTGGTTGATGGAATCATATGCAAAGACGAACCCTTTTTGTTCTTGAGATATCGATATTCAGGGACTATTATTCCTTAACAGACTGCATTCACGTTCACGGTGCCTTCTGGACTTTTTTGTTGCTTGTCAATCTCTCCCTCAGGAATCATCTACTAATGGCTTTGTCAATTTGAGTGGCATCTGAAATGGACTGGAGAGCTCTATATAATAGGCGGATGAAACCATGACAGAAAGCTTTTCTTGAGGAATCATGGTTATGGACTTTATTGAGTTGATTCAGAGATCGAGAACAATTTTCAAAACCCTCTTACCGTTTGGAGATAAGTTGGCTCTTTATTTACCCTTTTGCTAGGAAGAAAAATCAAAAAAGCGCATCCATAGACCAGATCAGGAACGCAAAAATTCAGCCAAAAATCGTTTAGAATAAAAGTTACTCACCTGTATGGAGCCTGGGGAAAATGTTGTCTCAGAATAGCCCCGCTTTGCGCTCATTCCGTTTGGACAGACTAGTTACAACTTCGATGTGAATTATTCCGACGTCAGTAGAGCTTCAAATGTGCCATCAATTCCTCTTTTTGAATGAACTTCTTTCTGAGGAAACTGGTTCTTCTTCAATTTTTATTTTTGTAGAGGATGGATAAGTTACCTGCTTAATAATACGATGATTCGTGTGTGACTGCAAGATCCCTGGAGGTTCGATAGATACCGGAGCATCTAATTACCTGTATGCATAACAAGTATGAGTAATCAGTAAGCACGCCATATGTTCCCTGAGCTTTTCATAAAACAGCGATAGCTTTTGATTGATGGCTTCGCTCCGAGCCAAGGAGCCATAAAAGGGTGATCTATCATGTCGTTTGCAACAGTGTGATAAATTACTGCCGACTTTTTCCAGTAAATGGTAGTCGTCTGTCTTCTAGAACATTATCTAAGGCTCACGAAAGAAATTATGCTTCCAAAAAGTCTTATGGAAGCACCCACCTGCAAAACATAAGGTGTGGTGGGGTTTTGAAGGAGGGTCCACTGAAGTGATGGCCACCCAGAAGAAATGAACGAGCCATAATCGACTGTGCCTACATTATTCAAAGATTTCTGGATCAGGAAATAACTTGATGCTTTTGTTTAATGTCGACTGGGATTTATTTGTTTCCTTTCTGGATTGTTAAATTTAAATCGCCACCTTCAGAATTTTCAATTTCCCTCTAGAGGAAGCGGTCACGGGTCAGATTAATCTCGATCTTCTCGCAATAGGGCATAAACAAGGGCATAAACATGATTCAGATTGATGCTGAGTTCATCAAGGCTGAAGTCGTATGACCCTTCTAACGCCTCCCTGGCTCCATTGGGAAGTGAAATGCATGGCTTATGCCAAAACTTTGGCTTAATGGTAATAACTTAATTGCGTTTTCGAATCAACACCTCGCCTGAGCTCCCTTACTCACTTCGCTTTATTTTTAGATTTTTGTAGGTATGAGCAGTTCGTAAACAATAATCAGCTAATTATTACCTATCGTTGGGTTGTTTTCCACTTGAAGGAGCTCTGAAGCTTAAAATGGATAAACAGTTTTCGTATTACAGTAAATCAATACAGGCTTCCTCAACCAGAACTGCCGACGTTTTCCATACTGGGCGAATGTCTCGTGCAATCAATAGGTATTGCTATCGTTATCATCGCTGTCCACATATCAATGGCCAAGATGCTTGGGAAGAAGTTTAATTATCATGTAGATGACAGTCAGGTTCGTCGAGCCCTCTTTTTTCCGGTCCTCTTCAGATAAAATCGCGATTTTTTCAGTTCATTCTCATGTTGACCAATAATTTCGTTGACGTCATTCCTCCCTTTCACAGCAGAATAATATGATGCTACTTTTTTCCATCACCCATTATGGGAATAAAAATAGTCGTTGAAATTCCACGATATCTGGAAAATCCATAAAATAAATCGAAATCAGTAAAGGGGTCTTTGAACATCAGATCTACACCACTTTGTGTACAACTCTGCGAAAAAGTTCAAGTGGACTAATTTTAGGAGATGTCAAATAAGTTTCAACTTTTATCTTTCACCTTTAATTGTTAGTAAATAAATAATAATAGTATTGGGCATAGTAATAGTGAAAACGCAGGTAGTGTTTAATGAATCTTACCTCAAAATTTATGGGACTTTTTGTAGGAGCTCTACGCTATCAGTCTCACATCCCTATTGGGAGGATGCTTTCCGGTTTATCCGGTTTCTACCGCTCTCGGCAGAACAATGGTGAACGTGCAAAGCGGCTCAAAAACCCTGGTAGGCTTCCTTATTCTTCGCATACTTTTTCGAAGGCCCATCTCTCTGACCCCTTCAGTCGGAATTTTCGTACTTCTGGACCCCAAAGCCTTGCAGGCCTTGTTCCGAGTTCACAATTGTCGATCATCCTCAAATGGAAATATTGTAAAGGGTTCTCAGTGTGATTGCCCCTTCTGGGTTTCCGTCTCGGATCCCCTTTTCAGATGTCTAGGGACAAAGTCCCTTCCTTTGGCTCGGTAAAGAAGAGTCGCTTACACTTTATTCTTCTTCGGTAAGTAGCAGTACAATTGATGAGCCGAATCTTCTGACGAAATATACAGGAGCAAAAAGCCATTTTAGGAGATGTGACCGGTATTTATAGCTGTGGCCCTGGGAAAGTGGAGATTACAGAGATAGGCGAGTACAAGATAGTAAGATATCCATATAAACACAGATCAAGAGAGGGCTCTGGTCGGCAGCTTCGCGCGCGGGAAAACGGTTCTGGTAGTTGCGAAATTTGAGCTGTGGGAAACAAGAGGTAATAGGCAGATATGCAATAGATAGTATAACAAAGTGAATAAGTGATAGTGATACACAACAATAGGAGCACGACTACAACTCTACATCGTGGCTACATTCTACACATATTTACAATATCAGATTTTTATTTTTTCAGCTGTCTACCGTATTCAGTTGTGTTCTGCTGTTGGCGATCATTCTTTGGCTTGGACCATATCTCCGAGCACTTCCGAGGGTATTTACTACTACTTTTGCTCAAAATTATCATTTCAGCGATTTCACCTCATTTGACCTGAATCAAAAAATAATAAATAGGTAAACGGGCAAATGGATTGGTCAGGGTCATGGACCTCACTTGTATCTGCTTTATGTGGCTGATCAGGTGCCGTCAATTAATGGGTCTACTTAGTATCATGCACAGATTATGGACAACGAAGACGAGCATAATTCAGAGTTTAATCCAAACAAATAGCTTTGATATGGAAAAAATCGGGCGGAGTTGGTGTAGTGGCAAGTGGCGCACTATCTCACACGCACGGTCAGGGGTTCGAATCTCGGATCGATGCCCGCCTAGGCCAACCAAGCCTTCCATCCCTCCGGGGTCGGTGAATTGGTACCAGACTCGTCTGAGAGTATAAAAGCACTGACTTGTACAGCGGCTGGCCACCGCAAGTCATTGTATAGGCCACATANGCACTCATTACGCCACTACGATTCTGAATGGAAGTCGAGTGCGGGCCGCACCCGTCAGACGGGATTGATTATCGCCAAAAACCCTATCCTTTACTTCATGGAAAAATCGAATAGAAGTCTGTTAATGGGAACGATTTGAATTTTGGGAAAAAGAAGAAAACTCCTACTGACGATTGCTACTCAGGGATATGAGGATGGATAGGTCCCTTCTCACTTTGGTACGTTCCTATTTAATAAGTGTTTCCAAGAGGACGTCCTTGATCGGTCTAACTGCACTGCTCCATCCTTGAAAATTCGATCGGACATCTTGCTCATATTAATCATATCATCTTTGCTCTTCTACGGCTTCACTGATGATAATGCTTTCAGTGCGTACTGGCTTCGATCATCACCGTAGCCCTGAAGTCAATGTTCATGAAGTGTGGCCAAGTGAAGCGTATCTACTCGATCTCGAAAATTGATTTTGTAAGTATCAGGCAAATTCCCGACAATCACCAAAAAGATTCATCGCCATCTTTTTTCTTCTGCTGTTTCGAAGCGGTTTCCCGCAGAAAACATAGTGAAATCCATAGAAGGATCTGCTCTTTCGCAGAATCTGGTTTCCTGGAAAGATATAAATAATTTGTTTGTAGTTAATGGTAGCACCTGCTATTGTTAGAGTTTTTGCCTAAAAACCTTCTCTCAAAAAAGAAACGTCATGGCAGCTGCAGCTGCTACCCAGACGGTACAAAAATTAAATGACGTCTAGATTATATTTTTAATTCTCTCGGCGCTCCCCATTTCTACGAAGCCCATCTCTGTTCAGTGAAGGGTTGTAGTAAATTTTAATGGCATGTACTGGAAAATATCGAAACCCATTAACTGGATACTGGAGGGAAGCGATTTTAGTGGAAAGAGTTCCGAAAAATCCCAGTGTACACTTCATTTGTTGTCATGTGAATAACTGCGTTATTGGAAAACGTTTTCAGAAAAGAAAAGTTATTAGTTGCTAGAAAGGTCGAGTAATCTTTCAAGTCACTCATTGATTTTGGATAAAAACGCTTCCTTTAATTTACATGAATTTGGAATGCATGGCTTATGCTGCAGAGCTTGACCTACTCTGAACAAATTAGCACCTCCTCGAAGCATTTTCAATCATTACAGCTCATTCTCGGCCATCTGTTGAATGCGTGGCGTATCCAGTAGGTCCACTGGGCTCTATTTCTTTTGCTATTAGGTTGATGCATGTCTTTTACCTGTTCCCAGGCTTGAAACACTCATTGAAGAGCAGGAATTCTACTCACTAACAATCTTTCAACTCCCTGCCCATGTGATATTTATTGGTAAGTTTAAATGGTTTTCATTTCAGTTGATATGGATGGTTTCATTCCTCGCTACCACGCTGATTGACGTTATGGAAGGATTGGCAATTTCTATCGCTTTCGCTCTATTCACTGTTATTTGCCGTTCTCAATGGTAACTACGGTGGAGGATGCAAACAGAGCTTTTTCGTCTTGACCTTGTCTATTTACAGGCCAAAGTGGCAATATTTCTATCGATCAACCCAAGCGAAACAAAATGAAAACGATGAGAAAGCCACAGAGAAGTCGGACATTTGTGTGTTCCGGTTTGATGGTCCATTACTCTTCACAAACGTGGAAAGGTGCCCTTTTGAGCTCGGGTTTAGGCCACATAGTTGCGGCCATTTCAAACTTTTTTTTATGAGATTTTATAGGTTCAAAAATTCACTGAAACTAACCACGGACAGTTGGATGGAGTCATGGAAATCGAAAGATTCACAGGTAAGGGCAGTGGGTATCAGTCTACGATCCCTGATGTGGATAGGGCATATTAACATATTCGTTACTCGCTCATACAGACTGAACCCATCCGTTCCTATTCTGGAGCAGAAAATCATTCTCTCTTCAAGATTCGAAATGGAATTTTCCATTTCTGTTGTGGGGTCCCTTGGAACAACTGTAGTAGCAAATTACAGGAGGTATCGACTATGAATGGAGAGCAGAAACGACCACAAAACCATTCGGGAGAGGAGAAGCCACATTTCCTAATTATCGACTGTAAAGCTATGGCCTATTGCGACTACATGGCTGCCTGTGCCTTAAACGAGGTGACTATTTTTATTTTTCAGAAAATGATTTCCAGCGGGAAAAGCAATTGTTGGGTGAAAATGGCCAGGCACAAAGGCTTCTTCATAGGGAAAGGTCTCGAAAGGATAGTGGATACCTGAAGCTATCACAGAGTTTCGATTCTAAACCAGTCCAGTATGCACAACAGGAAGTTTCAACTTCTGAACATAGGAAGGCATAGGCTAAATCAACATTGAAAGGCAGTAGGATTACCTGCAAAAACTTATATACTGACGAGCGGCTATTTCTGTGGGATTTTCTAAAGATATGTCCCGGCTTATGATGTCCCTCTGGCTCTGGGTGGCTGCTGCAGAGCTAATAGCTTGATAGGGTAAAATTTTTACTGTATGTTTTAGTCCAGGATCATGTCAAATCAGCGAGCATCTCCCGAATTTACTATCGATGCTGAGGAATTCTTCTAGCCCATGAAGTCGGCTAGTTCTGGGCATCCATCCTCCTCTGGGCAGTCAACAGTTTTAGGAAAAGAACCCAATGAATACTATGAATGCACCACCCCACACTTGGAAATCGCCAAAGGAGGATGCCTGCATTTTCGTCCTTATTCTCTCATCGTATTGTCCAGAACCTATTTTTTCCGTCTAGCACCCATGTGGCTGAGGACAACTTATTTCAAAAACGATCTTCAGTGAGTCTTCCCTGTCGTACCTTCAGCTTTCTTAAACCGTGGGGACTATTTGGACGCATCTAGGCCCTGGAAGCTTGTGCAGACTTCCCGGTTTGATCCAGCTATAAAATTAGAGGAATGTGTTCTAAAAAACATCCCTCCCATACTGAGTGGTTCCGAACGTTCTGACAGTGGCAGTCTTTTTGCCCTTCTTGTCTTGAAGCTTAGATTCCTTCCGTTCGCTTATTTCCAATTGGAATCTAAATTTAACAATGAAGGAAACCGGCGTTCATAGCTCTGAAGTGGAATGACCTTTGTTGGATTGGTGACAGGATATGAGGCTTTTCAGACGCAGTAAAAGCCATGGACAGCAGCATCTTTGAAACCTTCGCGCTCTTCCATTTCGGCTTTAATGAAGATGACCTTTTAGAATGCCATGCATCAGAAATATTCCATTTGCGAAACCCGTGATGATGCTCCCAAGTTTGATCCAATCTTTATTTGCCAATTCACGAGGTACAGTCAAAGGCCCTAGCATGAGAGCTACGCACTAGCCTTTTGAAGTATTGAAAGCCCAACTTAATGCTCTGTCTAACAAAAAGAGGAAACAGAAGATAAACA